TTTTTTCGCTTATATTTTAATTATTGGAATTATTTTAGTGAAAATCAGAGAAAGTTCATTTTTAAGCCTTTAAAATTAATATTTTAACTTAGAAAATTATGAAAAAGTATTTTAATTGGTCGTAAGTGATTAGGAAGCCAAATGTGACATAGGAAGCCAAATGAGGAAGCCAAATGTGACATTTTAGTGTGTTTTTATTATTTTGCAATTTTTATGATTTTTAATTAATTTTTAATTATTTAAATGCTCAAAAATAGCTTAAAAATGAAGAATTTATTTTAATTCAATTTTTTTTTTTTAGGTTCCTCTGGTCATAAGGAGCTCCCAAAACCAAATTTGTAATTTTTTGAGTTGTATTTAATTATTAGAATTATTTTAATGCCAAAAATGTGATTTCACTTAATTAATCCATTTGAATGGTTACATTAACTCCAATTGACTTGAGATTTTTATGGAGAGCTCCTCTAACATTAAATTACAGTATGGAATAGTTTTTATGTCATTTATATTTATAATTACTCCAAATTTATTTTTATTTTCATTTTTAGGGTGGGTGACAATTAAGATTATTTTCAATGAGTTAAATCAAGTTTATATTTTTCTTAGTATCCTCTGATCACGGTGAACCTATAAAAATAAATTTTATTTTTTTCTAATGAGTATTTTAATTATTATAATTTTTATGCCAAAATATGGGCCATTAACTTGAAAATTAGATATCTCTGGTTACAAATACCCCCTGACCTTGGAAAAATTAGGAGAGATGCCTAACAACAGAGACATCGAAGGCCCCATGGTCTCATGCCATAGTAAAATGTCTATAGAAATAGAGAATCAAAATAAGAAAAACACCATTTAATTAATTAAAAATAAAATATGCATCAAACGAACATGAAGATATTTCCACATTGTTCTCTTATGTTCACTGAGTAAGATGTTATTTTTATTTTATTTTTGTGATTTTTCTAAACAAAGTTATGAGTTTTTGAAGTTCTGGCTATTTATTTATATAGGAAAATCTCTATTTTCTACTTAAGTGATGCGGGGCCATCTCAACCTACGACGGCTCCGAAACTCCACGCGGTGCGCTCTCATTCGACACCACCATCCACCCGTCTGCCCTGTCATCTCGCGGTTCCGCTCCATCTCCTCATCCGGTGCAATCAGAGCCTTCCATTCAATAAACACATGATCCAATGGTCACGGGTCATCGTCCCAAAGCCTCTAGCCCGAGAATCGTCCACCTTCAAACCCTAACATCTCTCTCAATACTTAACCAAATAAAGTGAGGTTTGTTCCTATCGACTCGTCTTGAAGAGACACATACATCCATATGATTAATCAAAACCTAAATCAACTCTATGATTAAATGAAGCTCGTTTTAGGGTTATTGTTCAATACCTTGGTCTAAGAGGGGAAGCCTCGATTGGATGCTTGTGGAAGCTTTGTGGGGGTCCAAAGAGCCTAGGGATTGAGACTCGAGCAGTGGTGAATTGCCTAGACCCAATTTCGACCAAGGCCGATTTTGGGTGTTGATCAAAGTCCACCTTAGGGTGCTTTGGTGATGGGGATTCTATGGGGGATCTTCCTCTCTCACTTTGGGGATGATGTGGGTGCAATTAATTTGAATTTGGTTGAGGATTTGAAGATGTCTTGTTTCGGCCTAGGGATTGAGCTTAAAAATTGAGCGCGAGCACTGGATTTGAATGGCTAAGGATGGTTGGGTTGAACTCAAGAGATCTTGAGGAAGCTCTGGAAGCAATTTGACAGAGTCCCTCAAAGGAATTTCAAGCTCTCCTTATTTGGCCATGGAGGGGGGGTTTAAATGGATGAGGAAGGAGATGCAACCAGTGGCAATTGGTGGGGGCTTTAGGTTGCTTATGTGGATGCCAGTAAGGTGCAAAAATTCAATTGGGATGAGACAACATGGATGAGTTTAATTTTGAGTTTTAGCTATGGGGGAGCACTTTGGGGTGGCTTTTCCGCCAGCCTAGGTGGCCGGCCGACCAGGCTCAGGTCACCATCTGACTCAGGGAGGTCAGGACTTGGGTTTGGTGAAGTCAATTGGGGTTGGCCATGTGTAAAGGGTTTGAATTAAATTAGGATGTGGGAAGGGCCATTTTGGGTCAATTTGGGTCAATTTGAGTCAAATAATGGTTTTGGGTTGGGTTCACCCCTCAAGAAAGGCTTGGGTGCTGAGGAGAATCATATGGCTCAGTTTAAGTGGTGTGGAGAGGTCTCCATCCAAAGGATTTCCAAAGGATTTGGGCTAATTGGGCTAATCATGGGTTTAAGTGTGTCATTAAAAGGGTTAAAAGAATCTTAAGGGGGCTTGAAAGTGGCTTGGCCTCTTGTCACTAATAGTATGGTTATGTGGCATGGCTCTCATGGCTCACCTATGGCTTGGGAGTGGCTTCATGACTTGTCCTTGGCTTGGTCAACTTTCATGAGTAGAGATTTTTGAATTGATAAAATATTTTGGTGAAGTTTGGCATGATGCTTAATTTCAAATGATTTGATTTCGAATTTAGGACTTCATGAATGATTTTAATCAAATGGATGATGAAGAGAAAGAATTGTCATGTGGATTTTGGATTTGGGCTTTTGAAATTAAATGTGGTGGGCTTGGGCTTTTGAATTTGACATTGATTTTGGGCTAAAATTTTTGGCTAATTGAATATTGAGTTTGGTTTAGGAATATGTCATGAAGGCTTTGGAAGAATTTCAAGTGATTTTAAATTGAATTAGGGGGGCTAATTTAGTGGATTTAGGCATATAGTCAAAATTGAGGCTTTTTGATTTGGGTAAAATTGTGCTTGCAATTGGGTCAATTTGAGCTTAAATTTTATTTATATTAGGATTGAGCTTAAATTTTATTATTTATATTAGGATTGAGGATGCTGAATTTTGATTTGGAATTGAAATTGGGCAAGATTGGGGTCAATTGGGCAAATAATATGAAGATGACTTGCCTAAGGGATGAGATTGTTATTCCTTAAAAGGATCATATACAAATTAATTAACACACGAAAGAATGTTTTATCTTATGAACTATATGATAGTCCAAATGATGGAAATATGCATTATTAAGAGGGAAGATGATTGAATTAAGAGTAAAGAGAAGGCAAGCCATATAGGAAAAAAGTGATTGATTTATTAAATAAATGATGTCTAACTTAAGGAATAAAATATATCTTAAGGAAAATACTAATCTAAAGCGTAGGCCATAGAACGAGAGATATGATGACATTTCTGTTAAAGATCCTGCAATTCTCTAGCCTTTGAAGTTTGTAGCTCATAGTCTACTTAGTCTAAAACGATAATTATAATTCTCTATCTAAAAATATCTTTATCAACAACTAAAATCACATCATAAAAGAGCACCTAACAGACCTCGAGTTATAATGGCAACTTACACCTAAATTGATTGATGATGTTCTTACTCCACAACCAATGGAGGAGAGAAACCCAAGGTAAGAAGTCTATATAACTTAAATATTGAGAATCTTCTATACTATAGAATAAATCCAGGAATTGAGACTTACAATATAAATACATCAATGATTATGAGAGGCATGAAACCTTGGGTTTGCTTTATACCTAATTAAAAGTGTCATTAATTTACCTAGTCACAAATGAAATTGAAAGGTCAATCAAACTTAAATGGAGAAGAGAGGCAAACATACCACAAAGTTGCCTGCATGAAGAAGAGGTGCGTATGTAAAGTGTATGTGCTTATGTTATCTTTAATTAAATGTAATCTATATGCAACCTCTCAAAATCTTGAGATGATGGATGCATTAGTGTGGTTTAAATTTTACATGCCGCCAATTTATATCTAATACGATGAACGTATACATTCAATAACAAATCATATTGAAAAAAAAACAAGATATATATATATATATATAT